GAGAGTTCCAGAATACTGCTGAGAGCTGGCCTCGGGGGCCAGCGAGAGGAAGGCAAAGGCAGGGCCTTAACAAATACCTTCCAGAAGGCCCCCTCAGAGATGGGGCGGGAGCCTGGGTTGGGCACCTTGGGGAGCAGAGAGCAGGAGGGACAGCGCGAGGGGAAAATAGAACACCTTCCCGTGAATGCCACCTTGGATCCCTGCGCTCTGTGGGGAGGAAGACGCACTCGCATGTGGGTGTAACACATGCTGTACTCCGTGGGTCGTGTTTTCCTGCTTTAAAATGGGAAATGTGAGTTATTTATTTGTAGCACATGCATGGTGAGATGCTCATGAACCAGCCTGGGGATGTTCTCCAAGTAAACAAACCCACTTTCTGGAGAGGCGGTTTCTTTTTACAGCCCCAGAGATAAAGTAGCCCCAGAAAGCTCACCACTGCCAGTTTCTAGCACCTTGATGTCCCTTCCTGGCTCCGAGAGGCCCATCTCTGCCATCCTCCCCCACCCCTGCCTGCAGTGTCAGCCCTCCCACTGAGTACCACCCAGCTTGCCTTTTTGTGTCAGTTCATACTGTAGCTGTTTCAAGTCAGAGGTGGATGGGGTTGCCAAGTGGAAGAGGTTGTGGCCATGAGGAAAAGGACTTGGGGTCACTGTCTGATAGGATGACCCATTAGGGTTGATTTTGTTTCGTAGCCTTGGTTTAAACACGAGCTCTGTGTGGTTCTTAATACACCATCGGCCCTCTCTGATCCTAGTTTCTTCATCCATAATGATAGGATTGATCAGAATGTAAAGGCAGAGTCCTAAATGTAACCGTCCAGGCCTCATGATTGGCCCTTGTCACTATGCTCACCTTACCTCTTGCTTGCTCCCCTGGTTTACTTGGTCCAGCTGCACTGGCATCTCTGTTCCCCTATAGATCCCAAATGCTCCTGCCTCAGGACCTTTGCACTGACTCTTCTCTCTCTCTCTCTCTCTCTCTCTCTGAAATGCTCTGTCCCTACCTAGCTGCATGTTTCATTTTCTCACCTCCTTCTGAAAGGAGATGAGAATTTTTTTTTTTTTTTACTGAAAATTGCCTTTGAGTGAGGCCTGCCTTTGACCCCCAATTTACAATTGTGTATCTCTCCTCACATTCACCTTCATTTCCCTGCTTTCGTTTTCCTCAGGAACCCTCTTGCATATTACCCATTTTAGTACTGCCTGTTACTTATTGGCTGTCCCTCCCATGGGCCTGCAGGCTCCACGAGGACAGAGCATTGGTCCATTTTGTTTCCAGCTCCCACATGGTGCAGCCTGTGGTGGGGAGTGTGACAGAGATGGGGAAACTCAGCAAAGCAAGGTGGTGGAGACACTTTGGGATCGCAAGCTTTCTGGTTCTTTTTCTCCTGAACTGTGAGAAGAAACGGCCTCCCCAGAAAGCAGTTTGTTTACTTGGAAAACAAAATCTGCATGCTGATTCTGCTCGGTGCCTAATAGATACTTGCTGAAGGAAAGAATGCAAGGCCAAGCCCGGGGCCGCATGGCCTGGACTGCTCCTCTTATCAGCTCTGTGAACCTGAGCCAGCTCCTTAGACTCAGTGACTTCAGTTTCCTTCCTTATCAAAAGGGGGTAAATGTGTAACTACCTTGTGGGGTTGTTGGGAGCTGTCCACGCAAGGCTGAAGAAAGCCTGCATCTTGGAGGTGCTCAGCAGGTTAGCTATTATTTTGAAAAGTACTTTCAGTTCTCATATTCTACTTACGGACAGAGGGTTAAGGATCTTGGGTTGAGCCCTCAAGAAATGACTCCCATAGGCACTAATATGGTTCGCGCATCCTGCCTCTGATGCTGCCTGAGAGGAGGGTGGGGGCTGCTGGGCAGATTGTAGGGGGCGCAACTTCATCCAGTGCTTTCATGTTGCTAAAGTCTTAGGAGACTGGACAGCGGGGCAGAGGAGAATTCTAAATTGACCCCTGGTTAGGAAATTCAGATGCCCTGGGTTCAGTACCCGGAGGGAGCTTGGGATGAAGGGACCTGGCTCTGGGCCCTGAAGCAAGCTGGGTGCCAATCTTGAGGGTGGATGCAGGCAGCCTCTGGTCTTCTCTCCGCTCCAGATCTTGCTTAGTCTTGGCCCAGGATCTTACCTATTCAGATCCTCCCTGGCATCGCCACCAGTCTGGGGGTCACTGGCTTTTAGCCAGTATTCTAGGGAATCTGCTTACCCAGGACATCTAAGCACGCTTCAGCTCAGGTCCTTACAGAGCTCAGAGGAAGACCCCGAAGGTCCCATTGGTAGGGACAGTTACTCTCACCCTGCCCACCACATTCCCCGCAATAGACTAGTCAAATCAAGGTGACCTTGGAGCTGAGTCTTGAAGGGTTCAGAAAGCTGAGGAAGTCTTGGAAAGAGAAAGCCTTTCTTGTTTGGGCATAGTCATCAAATAGGAAGAGTAAGTTTGGGCTTCTGTTTGCCCCTTGGTCTTAGAGACAGCATGTACTTCTAAGGGCGAGAGTTCCTGAGAGTCTCCATGCCTTTCCTTCAGAAATAACGGATGCTTAGAAGGGAGCCCCAATTGTCTGACCCCTGCTGGCCCTCCCACTTGCTTGTTTATGGAGAAGTAGAAGAGAAGAGGCAGCCAAGACCTACCTGGTGCTTCAGGGAAGCTTCCAGGATGATTTTGCTCCCAACATGAAGCCCTGAGGACAGGATGCCTGAAAATGGGAGAGAAAGGTATTTTTATTCTTTTGCCTTGGTGCTGTTGTGATGGCTCCTTGTGTTTATGCTGTGGGTAACTTTTGGTGCCAGCTGATGTTTGCCTGACTCTTATCCCAGCCAAACCATCCAAGCTGGGAAGAGATGGGGAAGCCAGTTATATAAGACTGGTAATTCTGGGGTGGATTAGCCCTGGGATTCACAGGGTCTGGCTCAGCGCCCGGCAAGGCCTGGGATGGGCCTACCTCAGTCAGCTTGGCTGCCATGAGAGATAGTGTAGGCTGGGAGTCCTGGCCCCCGTGCATTGGCACAGACCGCCGTGTGGCAGAGTGGCACAGTGGTCCCTCACTAGACTTTAGAGCTGGTCAGCCCCGCTCGATGCTGGCTGCTTGTGGGACCTCTGGACAGCCTTGGACTCACTCTGCTGCTCGGGCAGCTCATCTGTAAAATGGGGATGATGGTAATGATGCTTATCGTAGGAGGTTTTTGTGGAGATTCAGTGGGCCATTCCACGAACATACATGGCACCAGGCATCTGTTTAGAGAGTAACTCAGGAAATGTTGGTGTTGATGAGTAGAGAGGTGGGCAGTGAATGGATAGTGGTCGTGCCGTGAGAGGCCAGCTGTGGAGGAGGACCACACTGAGTGTTGCAGGAATGCGGAGGCAGCACACAGCCTGTGTCTGCGAGGCAGAGAGAAAGGGAGCCACAACTCGAGTCCAAGCGTGGGCGCACTGGTCATCCCTGGTGTCGCCTTTGACAACACGTCTGCTGCTCCCTGGCCCCAAGGGAATCCTTTAGTGGCAGAGGCTGTGAGGGCCATCCACCAGTGCCTTTCTTGAGTGAGATCACAGGGCCATGGGCCTTTAATGCACCCTCCCTGCCCAGCCAGGATGGGGAGGCAGCAGCTGCGAGGGTCACCTGCACCTGGCATCCTGCACATCCAGACCCAGGGGACATTCTTCCTTCTGTTTGACCTGCATGTCCTGAGCCCCTGGGCCCAACACTGTTCCCCCAGTTTATTGGAATTCCTTACCTGCTGACTCCATCCCTGGCCCACCCTCCCCACCTCTGCACCCTCACAAAACTTATAAATGCCTAGAAAGAAGACATGACTACATACAAGGTTGTTTTTTTTTTTTTTTTTTTAATAGGGGGCACATTGACTTTTTGAGCAGAGAAATTCTTTCTGGTGCTGACTGTCATGAGCACTGAAGGACTTAGCACCCCTGCTCCCAGCCGGCATCACTGGCATTGTCCCCACCCTCTTCCAGATGTCCTCGGGGGCTGGCAACTACCCCATTGAGACCTGCTAGAGCTGAGGTGGCATGGATGTTTGCTTCTCCTCTTGTGGGTTTCTTTGCTGACTCTGCTTTCTCTTTGGGGTTGGCTGACCCCCCTCCTGACACTTTGCTCCTCATTGCCTGGTGGCAGTGAGGTCCTACAGTGCTGGCGGGGGTGGGTAGGCAGTCCTGGGGAGAAGCACAGCTGTGGCAGCGGAGTGAATGCAGACGGAATGAAAGTGGGCAAGGACAGGTGGCCCGTGGCACGGGGTGTTCCTGGAGGGGCGTCTGGCTCTGATTCTCTTGCAGACCCTGCTTGTCAGCTTGTCTGTGGTGAGAGGAGGTCAGGGAGGAGGGCACTGTGTCTCTGGAAGTGAAGCTCTGAGCAGGGGTCTGGCATTCCCGGAGGCAACAGGGATTCTGTAGGAGTGCTCTCCAGGTCTCAGTTTTGTGGGGGAAGGCATCTCCCGGGAAGGGGCGACAGGACCAGCGGTGACCAGCTTGGGGCTGGGGTGGGGAGGCACAGGAACTGCCAATTGCCACAGACTCAGGCTGCAGAAACATCTGCCTTACTCACCCCTGCAGCCAGCGTTCTGGACAAATAAAGTGATGAATAACTGATTGTCGTGAGCTCTAGAACACCCACACTCAGTAAACTACAGAGATGAAAATCTGGGGTCTCCATGGGGCTGGCTCTACCCTGGTATAACAAGCCTGGAAGGTTCAGGAACCTTGGGAGGGAGCCCGATGAATTCAGAATGCCACACCACTCTTCCTTCTGACCTGTTTTCCTGCCTCGCTTTCGCCCTCCCTACCATTTCCTAGCTATTCTGTTCCCATCCCTCTTCCTTTCTGGGGAAGTGCTGTTTGAGACACTTAGGAGCCCTCTGAGTCTCTTCCCCTTTCCTGCTGCCTCCAGGTAAGGAGTGGGGCTGAGTGAGTGGAAAAGCCCTTTCTTGATACAAAATGTCACTAGTGACTGAGCTTTTCTTTAATGGTGAATATCTGTATTCTCTATTATGAGACAGCCCCACGTTCAGATGTCTGGGAGAGGTCACACCGAACACAAATACACATTAAGGTGTAAATGACTGATGTGAAGTTGTCCTTCGAGTGTGAGGGTGCGCTCAGAGCAGGGGCTGGGAGAGCATGAGGTGTGGCTGGAACCGCGCAGGAGTAAGGTACAGGGGTGTGGCTGGAAGGGTTCCATGCAGGAGTAAGTACAGGGGTGTGGCTGGAAGGGTACCACGCAGGAGTAAGGTACAGGGGTGTGGCTGGAAGGGTACCACCCAGGAGTAAGGTACAGGGGTGTGGCTGGAAGGGTACCATGCAGGAGTAAGTACAGGGGTGTGGCTGGAAGGGTACCATGCAGGAGTAAGGTACAGAGGTGTGGCTGGAAGGGTACCACATAGGAGTAAGTACAGGGGTGTGGCTGGAAGGGTACCACGCAGGAATAAAGTATAGGGGTGTGGCTGGAAGGGTACCACGCAGGAGTAAGTACAGGGGTGTGGCTGGAAGGGTACCATGCAGGAGTAAGGTACAGGGGTGTGGCTGGAAGGGTGCCACACAGGAGTAAGTACAGGAGGAGAAGCCCTTCTGGACTCTCCTGGGCCAGTGGTTTCAAACTGAAAGGTGGTAATTTCAGCGTATCAAAGCTTTGGCTCACTGGTAGCTCTGAATCTACCGTGCGTCTGGAGAGAGTGGTGGGGAGCTTAGCGCTAGAGGTCTAGCTTTGGAGCCTGTCTGTCCTGGTTCCAATCTTGGTTCCCACGTCCTAGCTGTGTGCCCTCAGATAAGTTCTAAGCCTGAGATTCTTCGTCTGTACCATGGAGATAGTAGTAATACTGTCCTCATAGGGTCATCCTAAGGGTTTGATGACATAAGGCGTGCACTTCGCTTTGCAGAGTGCCTGGCACATCATGGTTCAAAACATGAGTCACCATCCTCATCGTCACCGTCATCATCGCCATCCTCATCATCACCCTCATCCATAGCTTTGGGAGAGGAATGTGGAGCAAAAGTAGGAGGCATCTGCGTACCTGAACCATCAGCCATAGCAGTGCCAGGTTTAGCAAATAAAAATATAAGCACATTTACTCATTATTTATCTGAAATCCACATTCCACTGAATGTCCTGTATTTTATCTGGGAAGCCTCATCAATCAAGCCTCTCAGAAGCCAGGTCTAGATCTCCTCCCCCAGCTTGATCCTAACTAGGATGGCCACGAGGGGAGGGGTCGGGGAGGAGCGGGGGATGGGGAGGAGGCGGGGGCAGGAGGGGTGGCTGGGGTGAGTGGCTGTGTGCGTGGGGGGGACTCAGCAGAGCTGCGTGCTCCGTGGATGCGGAGGGCGTTGTGAATCAGAGCGCGTAGACGCCGGCACCTGCCAGCAGGCCGTGGGCACGGAGACTAGCAGCCCGAGGGGAGGTGCTCCACGCCGGTTCCCAGTGGCAGCGGCACAGCAGTGGGGACCGCTTCTGTTTTCTTCTTGAGAGAAGCAGCCAGCGGAGCTCTGCGTTTTCTCACCCTGGTGGGTGTGTAGGGCACCTCCCTCCAGTTTTCTCCAGTTCCTGCTCATTTCCTTCTTCTCTGTCCTCCTGTCCTCCCCCCCCATCTCTTCCTCTCTACCTGCCTCCCCCTCCCCCCCACACCAGCCTTTTTGAGAGAGCTGGTGTGGGAGGGATTCTGACGCATTCCTGGTTACCTGCTGTTCCAAGCCCACAGGCTTCTGCCCCTCCACGTGCTGAGTCCAGGACCCTCCCTTGGCAGCATGGCCGGAGCCGCCAGCAGCAAGGGAACATCCGAGGGCAGGTTCTGTGTGACCTGGGGGAGATGAGCTGCTTCCACGCCCCTCCAGGTGCACAAGCCTGCCGGGGAAGCGAGGATGTGATGTGCATAGGTGCCATTGTTTTTAGTACAGCTGGGGGTGTCCTTTCATTGGGTTAACATTCTGTTGTTCCATCTATTTTGGGGGCTCTAAACTCTGGCGCCCATTCTTTTTGCCTTGGCGTAAAAGGCCCTTCATGTCTTATCCATTTAATTTTTTACTTTTTTTTTGGTCTAAATTTTTTCTTGCTGTTTCTCCCATCACTCCTCCTCCCACATGAAGTCCCAGGTAAATGGAAGCGCTTTTCATTCTGAGAAAGCTCTGTGCCCCTCATACTTTCAGGCCTTTGTGCATTGTATTTCTTCTGTCTTTGCAAGATCTACTCATCCTTCAAAATTTGGCTCAGATACCTCCTCTTCTGAGAAGTCCTCTTGACCAGCCCCTGGCAGGCTTGACCTTCAGGGCTCTTTCTCCTATAGTCAGCTTTGTCCGTAGTGCCAATGAAGCCCTTGTTGAAATTGCCTTGTGAAATTGTGATTGTTTGTTTGTATATCTGCCTCTTTATCCCCATTGGCAGTTCCTCGAATCATGTCTTTTAATTATCCCTGCCGCAGGGCCTTTGCATGTGCTATTGGATTTTCATGGAACACCATCATCCTGTCACTATTCATGAAATAGGCCCCGTATCAACCCTCAGATCTCAGCTTAGATGTCACCTTGTCAGAGATGCCTGCCCTGACTCACCTTACCCCTAGATGATTATTTATTACAATACCCTGTTTTCTCTTACAATAGTTTATTAGTACTTGAAATTTATTTCTATTTTGTCCGTCTTCACCACTGGAGGATGGCACCAATGAAGGCAAGCCCCTGTTGGGTGGTTCACCATCGTGTCCCCATGTCTGGGCCCAGAGCCATTTGTGGATAAGCTGGAGAGAGGCATTTGTGGAGAGAGGCATGTGCAGCAGAAACACTGAAGGCCAGGAGAAAAGGAATTCCAGATCAGGATTCCCTAGAGGTGGTTAACAGAGAAGGGATGTGGGGCTGATTTCTCTGTAACTGTACCTTCCCATCTTGTCTGATCGGAGCACACACCTCCAGTGTGTACCATTGTCATTTCTTTCCCTTTGTACCTTTTAGTTTTAATACGTTTCCTTGGAATTCTTCCATTTGGTTACTGTCTAACCAACAGGAACATCCTTGTTCTGCAAATATGTAAGGTGTTTGATGAACAGCGGCTAGAGTGCCTGGGTCAGCTCTGGGATTTGTACACCAAAGGGCTGGAGTGTCCTTTGTCCCTTGCCTGCAGGTGGGAGATTCCCTTCTAAATGTGGGAGCCCTCAAAAAGGCCCGTTCTTGGTGGTGAAGCCCTTCTCTGGACCCTGGAACCCCTCCAGGTAAGGGGATCGGGTGTGGATTTGAGGATCCGAGCATTGACTCAGAAGTCTAGTCCCTGGAGCCCCTGCTAAGAGGGTAGGCCAGCCACCTGGGAAAGGGCCCTGAGAGATTATCCGCTCAGAGCCCCATGCCTTTTTACAGGGGGAAACCATGGCTCACAGAGAAGAAGTACTTTGCCCAGAGTCACAGGGTTGAAGCAGGACCAGAACCCAGGTTTTGTGTCACCTCCTCTGGGCGCCTCACCCTCATCTAGCGAGACCCTCATGTGATGCAGGATGTTAGTTCAGAGGTGCACACTTCAGTGCCGCAGGACGCTTTATGTTTATTTTCATTGTACAAAACTAAACCTTTTCTTCTTCCACATTCCTCCTCTCCCTCCTCTTCAGCAGCATGAGAACACTGAGCAGATGAAGGCAAAGTCTTGGGTTCGAGCGTAGTGGGTAGGCAACAGGTGTTTCCTAGTGATCCACGATCCAAACGAGTACCGTGGAGCCCTGGCTGCTCCTCTTCGGACCAGACAGACTGTATGGAGGGCCCCCCTCTGTCAGCAACCATCTGATGGTTTCCTTATGGAAGAGAGCAGCTACGTGTGTTCAGAGCACTTTGGTTTTCAGGTACAGATTACAAAAGGCTGTTTCTATGTAGTTAACCTTTTGGGGGGGGTCTGCTAGAAGACTCTTCTGCAGGCTGTTTTGGTTCAGGTGTGTGATTGCAGCTGGCTCTGACCCCTGCATCGTTCCAGGACACTGTCCAGGGGACCGGCCTGGCCAGAAGCCTGTGGGCAGCTTGCCTGCAGGGCTGTTGCCCTCCTGACATGCAGTGAGGGATGGGGAAGGAAGGATTCCATGGCAACAAGGCTGGAGAGCCCTAGCGCCATGGTGTCATGGCAACCAAATAGAGGAATTCTATCCACATAGTGACAGGGGGACCCCTGGACCTATCAGACTCAGCTGGCCCACTGCATTAGCAACCAGGCTGTGGCCTCCTATGATGAGAGTTGGGTGGGAGGAGGGTGCGAAGGTTGGAAGAAGTTGTTTTGTGTGTGGGTTTAGAAAACTAAAAAAAAAAAAAAAAAAAAATTATTAAGAGAAACAAATAAAGAAGGCTCTGTGGGATAAGTACCAATAAAAGAGAAAGGAATCAGGCCTGGCTTTGTATTGCATACCCTAGGAAATGTGTGTTGGTTCATCTCCCTCCTCGCTTGGGGCATTGAGTTTTCCCCGTTTCATGCCTGGTCTGGAACATTTTACCTTGGAGACAACACTCATTGCTGGTTTTCCTCCTCTGTCTCCTAACATTGTTCTCTGTTCCTTTTGTTTACTCAAGACATGGCAGGAGGTGTTACAGTAGCAGTCATTGGCTGTTCTGTCCCTCACCGTATATGTCTGCACTGTATGGCCTGTGATGTTTCAATGTGTGTCTGTTTTGGCTAACTAAATGGACTGTGGTACTTGATCCCTTACCCCATTGTCTGGTTTTTACTGGGCAGCGTGGACACATGCAGATCTTTGTGAGTTGACCAGGACCCAGTTTGGGGTCAGGTGATTGGGTACAGGCTTTAATGTAAAAGGTATCTTTTAGGGGCGCCTGGGTGGCTCAGTCGGTTAAGTGTCCGACTTTGGCTCAGGTCGTGATCTCGCGGTTTGTGAGTTCGAGCCCCGCGTCGGGCTCTGTGCTAACAGCTTGGCGCCTGGAGCCTGCTTCGGATTCTGTGTCTCCCTGTCTCTCTGCCCCTTCCCTGCTTGTGCTCTGTCTCTCTCTGTCTCTCAATAATAAAATAAACATTAAAAAAAAATTGAAAGGTGTCTTTTAGCAGCCTTGCAGTCTTTCTGAGATGGGACTGTCTCAGCATGGATCTGAGCCTTCATTCTTCTTTCTCATCAGTTGTGGAAGGGTAGGGAGAATGGAAGATATGGGAAGCCCTGGGGAGAAAAAACAGAGGGAAGCATGGACTATAGCAGGGAGGTCTGTGCCTATATCAGCAGAGAAAAGAAATGTGGTCTTTGACTTTCCAGCCGTAAGTTTGGATTATAGGCACCTCAGTGGTCAAGATGCAAAGTGTCTTTGAGGCCTTTGGGCATGATGGATCCGGTTTTCTGCGTATACACAATGAGATCCTGTAAAGTTAGGCCATGGCTTACACTTCTCTATCCCCCATGCCATCTGCACAGGGATGGGCCCCCATATTTGGATGCCTTGTATTTGTTGAATGATACTGTTCTTGTCCTTGTCAAGCTTACACTCTACCTAAGAAAATGGGGCATCTCTCCATGGATTACTTACTCCCAGGGACATTAATAGACTACATGTTTTCCAGTGTAAAATAAGGATTTGCTGGCTACTGCATGAATGAATGTTTGGAACATATGGGGGCAGGCATTAGAGATTTGGAGATTGGGGAAGTTAAGAAAAAAGAAAGAGATCGTGAAAACCAACCCTGGTGCTCTAGGCTGTGAAGAAAAGCATGCCTGTATCCTAGGGGACCTCAAACTTCAGTTGGGTCAGATTCATCTAGAAATCTGTTTAAATATGCAGCTTCTAGGGCCCTGCTTCAAAGATTCTGGCTCAGGAGTCCTGGGAATGCATTTTAAACGAGCTACCTAGGTGACTCTGCTGGAGGTCAGCTGGGGACCACACACTTAGAAACACTTAGAAACAAGGGCACTCCTCATACAGCAAAGCCTCTGTGAGCCACATGAGCTTCAAGACTTGCTCTTCTTAGGGGATTCACAGATAAGTTTAATAACAGAAAGATAGCATCTGTGGGACTGGCAGATCTGGGAGCCTTGCCTTCTCTGGTAGAGGAGAAAGCGCCACTGTCGTCTTTATGTTTAATTGGTGAAGCCAGGAGGTAACGGCAGGTGGCTGAGCTCCAGT